TAACTCATTAAGTTGATGGTTTGGGTCGTCTGGTTAAAAAGTTTCACGCACGCAGCATGTCTTCTAGCGTGTAATGTCTCCAGGCCACTTTTGATTAAGGCATTTTTAGATAAAAAGGCGGAATTTTTTCATTAAAAGCGAAGTCAAAAAGCATTTATATTTTTGGTTCGCCAGAACTTCAGACCACAGAAGCTGGATTTATGTATCGTATAGATATTTTATTCGATCTAAATATGTGAATACAATGTAAGTTACTAAATTAGTTATGATATATACATGCAAATCAAAATAGACTGATATCCGTAGGTATAAACGTACTCACTTCTCACAAATCCAACTTTACAATATTACTTTCTCCCGGTTAGCATAAACTGATAAACAGATCCTGGTTAGCACAAATACCAACAAATACCGATATAGAACTAAATGTTCCTACTAGCACTAGCCGCACATTTATCAAAACATGTGCTATGGTTTATTACGTCATATTTGACAGCGGAAACGTCAAGTTTAAATAAACCCTTAAACGTCATTTAGCGTTAGCATAATGTCTTGCTAGTCAATGAAACAATCTTTTAAATGTTAATGTAATTCTCATAAGTTATTTAATTCCATTTCACCCTCTTAAATAAGTTATTTAATTTGCCCGCAAATTTCGACCCTCGACTTTTTACCCTCACCCTCGACTTTTTACCCTCGCCCTCGACATTGGACCCTCGACAAAAACTTAAACTCCTATCAAAAGGATTGGATATCGATTTTCGAAATTCGAATTGGATGAATCTGCCGGGTGACAGGTCTAGTTAGCTGCTCGTAGGCCTATATAGAATTGTCTAAAATAAAAGTAGGATTTTATAGGCAAATAGGATTGTCACGCAGTTAGTCGATCAGAGCCGAAATACCTTGACATGTTTGAAGATTCGAGTGTGTGTGAATTGAATGTCTGCATGCATGTTTTGCCTAAATACATGCAGGTGTTACAGCATTGAATTTGAAGTGTAAATCGTTTGATCGTAAAAACGGAAGAAATAAGACAAACGAAACATTGGTTTAAAAATGACACGTATAGTTTTATATAAAGATATAAGCAGAAGTAACAGATTGATAAATTAAG